GAGTTACTCAATATTTCGAAAAATTTGTTTAATTTTTATTTTTGCTCTAAAAATTTATTTACATACAAAATTAGTTTTAAATATTTTGCTAAACTTGAACCAGATTTTTGTTTTATTTTACTTTAACTCTTAAAATTCGTTCATTAACAAAACATATTTATCTAAACTAATTCATTAAATTTTTCTTTTTCTTTTCCTTTTTTTTTTTTTTTTTTATCTGACTTCATATTTCCTTTTATTTAAACATTCAACTTTTTACAATATATTTCATGTACTTAAAACGAAATGTTGAGCGTGTGTATGTCTCGCTTCGGTGAGTGTATGTGTGCGTGCGGGACTGTGAAGGTACATACAAATGTGTGGGTGCGTGAGGTGTGGTGTGTGTGTGAGAGAGAGCGATGGGCGAGCGTGCGTGTGTATGTGTGTGTGTCAGTGTGTTGACGCTCTTTAGTTGATCTCTAAACGTTGCGCCTAGAACAAAGTTTTTCGTATTAGTTATGGGCGTGTTAGTGTGGGCGTGGGCGTGTTTCATGTGGTTTCATTTTTAAATATAAAATTAAGTTTTAAACTAGGCAACAAATTGAATTTGTTGAGTATTTTCTTTTCCCCAAGATAAGAGTTTCATTATTGAGGCTCTATTTGTAGTTTATGTAATTGAAATTTCTAGTGGATATTCTGGGTTTTGTTTCTGTTGTTGTTGTTGTAGTGATTGTTGGCTGTTTGTTGTTGTCTTTTTGGCATGCTTCTTACTACTTGCTAAGCAAAASTTTTGCTCTTTGTTTCTTTGAGTGAGGTGCCTTAAACTTAAAGGACTTGGTAATAGGAGTTCTTTGTTGTTGTAGCTATGAGCCTGCTGCTGCTGATAGACGCAGACTACTTGGATATGTCTCGTTATATATATGTATATGGCTTACTTATCATGTCTTTCTAGACAACCTCTGTGCCCTGAAGTGGAGTCTGTAAAAAGCAGAGAGCAAAAATATATAATATACAATTTAAAAGTGATAAAAGTTGTGCAAACAAATATTATTTTTAAAATAAACTAAAGTTCTCAGAAAAGTGAAAAGTTTTAAAAATAAAACTAAATATTGTTCGTAACTATTCGTTGAAATAATACTTTTGCTAAATATGTTAAAATGTTATATTTATATAACAATAAAATACTTAAAATTCAT